ACGTTACAACATCTCGTGTAGGTATTTTTGAAGACACCCTTGATACGTTGTAACATCTTCTTTAAGTATCGGGGGGGTTCGGGGGGGTGTGGGGGGTGTAATAGCGTTCTTTCGCCTGCGTTTCCGAAACGTTTCAACATTGCTACGTTGCAACATCTTTTTTGAGTAGCTTCCAAGACGCTCTTGATAGGTTGTAACATCTACTTCAGGTAACTTCCAAGACGCTCTTGATACGTTGTAACATCTTCTTTAAGTATCATATGAAGCCATACATCCCACGCAGTCTTTCTTCCAGGAAATTCAATGCACACGGAACAACAGCACAGCTGCGCTGATGAGACACTGCCCCATATGGCAATGGTTGCATGAAGTCTTGGCTCCTGGCTACTCCCTATGGGATCAGTGGGCCAAGCTTTGTAAAAAAAAAACACAACAACAAAGTTAGACTGTGGCGTCTCGCATGATGACGAAAAAAGGCTGTCGAATCATCACTTTGAAAAGAGCTGAAGGCGCTCACCTCCCGCCGTAACCTTGAATTGCTCCTCGTCAAGTAAGGACCTGTAAGGACAAAGGCTTTGCGCCTCGCAATTCACAAATAAATGTGCTCCAAGATTCTTTCTTGACAACGTTGATAAGGTAGTTGTTGAACTGTCGCTTGTCCCCTATCTTCTCATGTCACGGTTGAGTTCATAATTGATGTGAGGTTCAAACTTCTGAAGCTTCTCAGGCGATGGACATTTGTTGAACCGTGACCTACACCAGTTTCCTAGATTCCAGAACATCAAGGAAAACTGTGAGGATCGATAGGGATGGTCCTTATCCAAAAACGATGGATCAATCACTCCAGCTCCCAAGTACCGTCATGCAAGACACTGAAGGACTACGCACTATGGTAAAACACCATGTTGCTCCACATAGTCAGTCTGGAAGTCATCTTCTAACCGTTTCTCGGCTTCCTCTGTCAATCGATCAACTTGTTCACGTACGCGAGGATGAAGACGAGGGTCTGAGCAACCATAGACTGCTTCCTTGCGAAGGTCTTCTAACGATGACAGTGGATATGCATCCTTATGTCGGGCAATGTAAGCGTCCATCAATTGAGAGTCGGTGTACCAGTGGTCTTTGTGTGGTTCACTGGTCTCCTATTTCCCCACCTGCCAGGTGAGGGTTGTTAGATTTTATCAGAGCTGTTGTCCTCCTCCTCCGCCTCCTCCTCCGCCTCCTCCTCCAATCTCTCCTCGACCATGTCTGCATCAACTTCCACCTCCATCTTCGCCAAGCTCTTCGCCAACTTCCGAGCTCAGTGCGCACTGCTGGACCTCAACCTGGGACCTTCCCAGCTCAGTGCGCACTGCTGGACCTCAACCTGGGACAGTGCGCACCGCTGGACCTCAACCTGGGACCTTCCCAGCTCAGTGCGCACCGCTGGACCTCAACCTGGGACCTTCCCAGCTCAGTGCGCACCGCTGGACCTCAACCTGGGACCTTCCGAGCTCAGTGCGCACCGCTGGACCTCAACCTGGGACCTTCCCAGCTCAGTGCGCACCGCTGGACCTCAACGGCCAGATAGAATGCCAGAAGATATGCCAGATAGAATGCCAGATAGAATGCCAGAAGATATGCCAGATAAAATGCCATAAGATATGCCAGATAGAGTGCCAGAAGATATGCCAGATAAAATGCCATAAGATATGCCAGAAGGTATGCCAGATAGAATGCCAGAATATTTGAGCAGATAATATTATATGCCAGAAGATATGCCAGATAGAATGCCAGAAGATATGCCAGATAAAGTGCCAGAATGTTTGCCAGATAGAATGCCAGAAGATATGCCAGATAGAATGCCAGAAGGTATGCCAGATAAAGTGCCAGAATGTTTGCCAGATAGAATGCCAGAAGATATGCCAGATAAAGTGCCAGAATGTTTGCCAGATAGAATGCCAGAAGATTTGAGCAGATAATATGCCAGAAGATCCGCCAGATAAAGTGCCAGAAGATATGCCAGATAGAATGCCAGAAGATATGTCAGATAGAATGCCAGAAGATATGCCAGAACATATGCCAGAAGATATGCCAGGTAGAATGCCAGAAGATATGCCAGATAAAATGCCATAAGATATGCCAGATAGAATGCCAGAAGGTATGCCAGATAAAATGCCATAAGATATGCCAGATAGAATGCCAGAAGGTATGCCACATAGAATGCCAGATAAAATGTCAGATAGAATGCCAGAAGATATGCCAGATAAAGTGCCAGAATGTTTGCCAGATAGAATGCCAGAATATTTGAGCAGATAATATGCCAGAAGATATGCCAGATAGAATGCCAGAAGATATGCCAGATAAAGTGCCAGAATGTTTGCCAGATAGAATGCCAGAAGATATGCCAGATAGAATGCCAGAAGATATGCCAGATAAAGTGCCAGAATGTTTGCCAGATAGAATGCCAGAAGATATGCCAGATAGAATGCCAGAAGATTTGCCAGTAACAAAATGTATAAATGTCATGGTGGGGATCACACGAAATAAAGTATTTTTTTACATGCCAGAAGATGTGTCGCTGCTGGCTTGAAGCTGGCTAACGGTCACGTTTTTCCGGTTCCAACTATGTAGCGTCACACCAACCAAAAATTGCGTCCTCGAAAGCAAAGAAACTGGTCTGGTCATCTGCTGCGTCATGTGAATTGCTGGTTGTTGGGGTGCTCTTCTCATTGCATAAGAGTCATATTGATTCCATCCATCTGCATCGACAACGTCGAAGTCATCATCATGGCCATGGCTTGCCATATTGGGCTCTATCTGGAGCTGAAGGATCACAGCTCTTCCCAGGCTGCAAGCACTAGTTTTCCTTTGTCGGCCACTAGCCCCTCAGTGCAGCGCCTAGGCTACAAGCTATACCTCTATATCTCTCTCTTGGGCCTTGACAGCGTATATAAACTGTGCTCAGTACTCATGCTATGCCCTGGCAGGGTGAAGCCCAAAACAAGAACAAGGGCACAGCACCTCCCCCCAAGGAACACAGACACAACTTCTGTTGTGTTCCCCCTTTGCCGTTGTAGTTATTCTTTCTTTTGCTGTTCTTGTTGTTCTTGTTTCTTTTGTTGCGTTTGTTGTTCTCGTTGCTCCTTTTGTATTTGCTGCTCTTGTTGTTTGTACTGCTGGTGCTGTTCTTCATGTAGTTGTAGCTGAAGTTGTTGTCAAGCAGAACAAGGAAGCAAGTACGAAAGCAGAACAAATACAAAGCATCAAACAAAAAACAGAGAAACAAAAAACAAAAAACATAGAAGCAAAAAGCAGAGAAGCAAAACAAACAGAGAAGAAAACAAAGAAGCGTAGAAGCAAAAAACAGAAAAGCAAGAATAGAGAGAAGCAAAAAAACAGAAGAATTAAAAAAAGACAGAAAAGCAGAGAAACAAAAAAACAGAACAGAAAAAA